TATAGGATGGACCCAAAACCTTCTTTGTTTTCTTTTTTTATGTAGCAGGACAAGCAGTAAATCGTCGTCGCTTGATGTGGAGTCCATCTTTGTAACGCGACGTTTTAAGAAAATATCGCTTATTCGCGTCGCGTTCGGTGTGAAAAGGCCTTAATACAGAGACTGAGGCTACTCATCTACCTGCTAAATAAACGTTATTCATTCGGCGAAGGAGTTGGAGGATTTTTTTGGACCAAGCAGAGATGGCCATTTCAAATTCTGGATGGTCGACAAACTCCTTAAGCACCTATATAGTCCATAGAAACAGGTTTGAGCCCAGATAAATGGACAAATCTGTCATTTTCACCTGAGGACCATGTCCACACTAGTGCGCATTTCCTCCTTCTTCTTCTTCGAGTTTATGGCGCTTGGTAAGCAATGTTGTGGTACATTACTGCCACCAACTGGAATGGAGTGATTCTAAAAAATAACCCAAAGAAAAGGACATGAAAAATAAAATAAAATACAATGATCAGGCTTATACTCTATCGTTATCTATTCACAGGACTTATTTGTAAAGTATCTGAACAATCTAAGTTTAACCTTGTTTCTTGTTCACTTTCCTCCTCATAGCATCATATTTTGTACAGTAAAGCACAACATGTTTGCCTATACAAAACAAACAAACAAAAAAAGTACCAGTACATTTGATGGTGCAAACGACAAAGGTAACCGCCTGCAGGAGGAACTGATGGAAGTTGTAAAACTACAGAAATGGTTGAAAAATCGATTTTGCATTATAAATTAATTATACAAAGGTATAATTGTTTAAAGTTGTTGCAGTTATGGAACACATCTTTAGATTTGTAGGTTCTTTAGTGAAACTTTTCATTTGTTGATAAATTAATATGTTTGGCAACATCTTGCAAATGCTGATACATTTATTGAGTAACAGGTCTATACATAAGTTCTTCAATGTAAATATTCTGCAAAGTATTTTCCCCATTAACACTTCATGACTTAAAACATAACTGTAGCTGAACCTTTAATCAATTATGAAAATATTATTGTCAAACCTAAATAGAAAACTCCTACATTCGTTTATGGACTTAAATAAGCAGCCTGATTTTAAATACAGGAAAAAAGAAAACTTTGTTTTCATATACATTCAAATGTACTGCTAGCATTCAGGCCATCCGGTCGTTCCCGGTCTTGTACTGTAGGTGGCGAAATGTAGCTATAATGTTGGTTTACGACCCTTAACTAAAGACAAAGAAGAAAAGCTAACGTAAAGTATATTCGTGTAGCGTTAAAGATGTGAATATGGTATTGAATGTATTTTACGAGCAGTTTCCAAACAATTCAAAGAATAAAAACCGGTTGATGTGTTTGAGATGTAAAGGAGAGACACCTGACAGCTCTATGGGATGTTAGCTGCACTCTCCCATTAGCTAGTTTGCTGAATAGGAACAAATAAAGCTAGCTAGCTAGCAACCATCCACTCGGGCTAACGTCATCTAGCCTTTCTTTTTCACCACAAGAAGTCAACCTTAAACAACTAGCGACTGTTTTTTTTTTCTTTTCAAATTAAAACCAAAAGGTAAGGTTCATTTAATATCTCAAATGCCTTAAGTTATTCCTCATGCAGTAGTACGTTCTCTTCTGCTAGAGGGCGCACCAGACTCCATTCAGAATTTTTACTAGTTTAAACTGCTAATTGATGTACAGCCAACATTTTCAAAGCTTCCACGATTTTAGATGTTTATAAGTAGGATATACTCAGAGGTAGCTTCACGGCGTACACACAGTTCACACAGAGCAATCATTTAAACCTTTACTTGCTTTACTTGGCCGCTATGCAGTGTTTGAGTTGTCCCTCATGGAGAACTGTATAACGAGTGTAATTATAGCTGGAAGGTATAAAAACCATCTTATTACAAAAGTAATTATTGCCAGTTATTCGGGTCTAAGCAATACACATGGTACAGTGGATATTATAGATGCCTCCTATTCTATTTTTCAAAATATTTTGCACATTCTTGCCCATTGTCTTTTGATTTGACAATGTTTACCCACTGAAGCTTAATAGTACCAGGAAGCCCCCTTACCTGAAAGGACCTAACCTTTTCTAATATAACTTAAGCAAATATTAATAACATCTTAATGTTTTCCCTCTCTGCTGGGATGCTGTCTGTTGTGAAGCTTCATCTGTCCATGGCTTCATCGGACCTCAACATGCAGGACATGAGCGAGGTTGTGATTGTCACCATACCAGACACTGTGGCCGAGGACCTGCCCTCGGTGGTAGAGGAGGATAAAGCAGTGCTGGTGACTGCGGAGCTAACCCCTCAGGCAGGGTAAGGTACATACATACACACACAGCTTACACTGAACAGAAATAATGCTACTCACTTTACTAAACTGAAACGTGGTTGTCACGCCATGTGGTTTTCCAGGGAGGACGTCCTCACCATAGCACCAGTGGAGGCACAAGCTGAGGCCAGTAGATCAGATTCTCTCTCAAAGGAAGAGGCAGTCATTGGTAATGCGACCTGCACGACTTTACTGTACTTAGTAAAACCTTTATGCCACAAGTGTGTTTTTCCCCTTTTGTTAAACTAAGAATGAACTATTATGTTCAGCTTTTAGTCTTTTATTGTAAACTGGAATGATGTAATTCAATGCAATGAAGAGTTTATTTGTAATGTTTTGTTATTGATGTAATTCAATGCAATGAAGAGTTTATTTGTAATGTTTTGTTATTATAAGCTCTTTTTGATAAAAGCAGCCATTAATGATACTGCTGTATGTTACAGGCAGTGGAGTCTTTTCAGTCTCTATGACTCAAATCACATAACAGTCTTTATAACGGTGTCAATTCTTTTTACTCTTTAGTTTGTATGATCAGATGAAGAACTGACTCAATGGTTGTATGTGGGTGCTTCTTCCTCTGTCTCTGCAGTGAAGTTAACCGAGGAGGTGGATGTTGAAGCTGATATCTATTACCCCATAACCTGTGGAGATGCCAAAGCCACACTGGTCTGGAAGAAGTTTGTCTGTCCCGGGATCAATGTGAAATGTGTCCAGGTGCATACTGTCATCTTGACACATTAGAGTTTGTGTAATCCATTTTCTGAACACTTTAATGTAGATGATACTTAGGATCAAGTGGATCATTTACTCTTTTTCTTTGCTTTCTGGTCAGTTCAATGAGCAGCTCATCAGCCCAAAGGAGTTTGTGTGTTTAGCTGGGAAATCCACTCTGAAGGACTGGAAGAGAGCCATCCGCCTCAATGGCACCATGCTGAGGTCAGGGCTTACACAGTACACTCACGGTGAATTTTACTTGGATTTTATTGGAGGCAACCCTCACAGTCTCCTTTCTGAGCAACAGTTTTTCACCAAAACCTGTTTATTGTAGCATATGGTTTATGACAGGTCAGACATGTTTACAACCCTGGTGATCTTAATATATTTCCAACACTGGCTACACTGACAGGGAGGCTGAGAGCAGTGAAATTAAACTTTGAATTCAAAATGCCCTGTATAACTTTTACTGTCAAACATAAAAGTGGTTGATGTGCAGTTGACAGATGTACCTCAGGATCACACTGCTCCACCAGACATGTTGGTGATGAACAGTGTATCCAGATGTTGTGTACTGTGCCTCCTACATCATCATGTTTCATTCCACAGAAAGATCATGGACTCAGGTGAACTGGACTTTTACCAGCACACAAAGGTCTGCTCCAACACCTGCCGCAGCACCAAGATAGACCTGGTCGGAACTAAAGTGTCCATCAGCAGCGACCATCCAGCTGACCTGGTTCCTGTCACCCCCTCATCAGCTGACTGTAAGATCCACAGCCCCAGCTGTCCTAGTTCAGGGCTCACTCTGATCTCCGGACACTGTGCATCACTGAACTTGTTGCTTGAATTATGGTTGTTTACTGATATACATATAATTTGTAGAGATGGCAGTTCTAAATCTTCAAAACAGTTTCGATGCATTTGAAAGGGACAATGATTCAAAACGTTTCAAAACACTGGCTGTGCGCAGCCTGCTGGCAAAAAGTTGAACTGCAGCTTTAGCAGAAACATTAGAACAAAACATCACCTCGAGAACAGACGGTTTCCAAAACGTCAAAGCTTTGCACATCCTGAGAAATGAAGACTGTGTCCACAAGACACCGCTGCGGGCAGGAAGTGAGGTCAGTTACAGTTTTGGATTGCCACAACAATGCTGGGAAGCTTTGAGGAGGAACTCAGCTGTGATCTCAACAAAAGTATTAGAGCGTCCTTGAGTGTTGCATGGTTTGTGCTTATGTTGTGCAAAAGCAGAAGGTCATAAGAAGATAATCTGTTTTCTGCCCAGGATGATTGGGTCCTAATCTGCTCGCTAATGGATGTACATTTTAATTCTCAACAAAAGTATTAGAGCGTCCTTGAGTGTTGCATGGTTTGTGCTTATGTTGTGCAAAAGCAGAAGGTCATAAGAAGATAATCTGTTTTCTGCCCAGGATGATTGGGTCCTAATCTGCTCGCTACTGGATGTACATTTTAATCCTCCTGTTATGTTGCTGGTCAAATTGACCCACGAACATAAATGCTGAGCAGGCATCACCTGAGAAATGAACATAACAGGAGGGTTCCCTTATGTTCGTGGGTCAATTTGACCCGCAACATAACAAGAGGGTTAATCCACAGATGCACACAAAGCACACAGGTTTGTTAACACTGACGTTGGTGTCGCAGCCAGCACACGTCTTGGTAAAAGCTAGTTTTAGTCTTGATTAGTTAGGCCACAGTTGAAGAACATGTCCACAGATTCCACGGGGAGAATGATGAGGAGATGAACTGTTGTCTTGGTGGAAAAGCTTCTGAATCAATAAAAATTGGATTATAATCCTGAATAAATACAGAAGCAGATTTTATATAAATTGTTACATTGGTCTAAGTCTAGTGATGAGGTTTAATCAGTGCTGTTCCTTTTTTGCCTTGTAGTGAACGGAGGAGGAGCCTCGTTTCCTGAGGTGATGGAGGAAACTTCAGAGTGGGTCACAGCCATCGGAGGTGATCGGCATCCTGCATACATTCACCATCATGTGGAACTGAATGGAGTGCTGTACTCTTTGTGATGTGTGTGTGTGTTTTCAGAGGACTCGGTGACGTTCTGGCGTGCGGTGAAGGAGGCAGGACTGCTGGAGGAGGTGGTGGAGGACTTCCAGAAGGAGCTGCAGGAGGTGCTGAAGGGGCTGCAGGAGAGAGTGTGTGACCCTCCACTGCAGGTCAAAGGCATGTTCACAGACATGTATGTCTCTCACTACATGTTCCACCTTGTGCTGCTGCAGGCTTCACATTGATTCGACAGCATTCGTTTCAGAGCAGGGGCAGCTTCACTCTGCAGCCACATTCAGGGAGCTCGTCTACAATCTTCTGGACCTTTGGTCATAATATCAGCTGTGGTCTCAGGAAGGTCTGACTTCTTGGAGCTGCTCTGTAGCCTCTACCTTGATCATACAAGGCACTTGTTTTCTTCCTCTTGTCCATGTTCAGAGTGGTGTACCACCATTTAAACAGGCTGAATGACTGATCAAAGACACCTGTGATACTAACTGAAGACAATAGCCTGCTTAAAATATCACTACAAGCCACTAATTTATCACCACTGCTATGGAATACCAGGAACTGTGTTCAGGCCGTCTTTGTAGAATTAGCAAGAATTCAGCTGTTTCCACAGGTTCTTAGTTTGATTCCAGGCCAAACTAAAGGCTGCAGAAATGCAGCTTTTCAGGAAAAACAAAGCATCGGTTCAGTGAGGTGTAAGAGTACAGACGCCTGTACACCAGAGTTCACACAGTTCCTCTGGTGACACAAAGGTTATACCTGGAAACGCACACTGATGTGTAAGCTTTAATGTTCAGCATGGCTGTGTCACACTGAATAGGACGTGTGTTTTTTCCAGATGCTGTTTTGCTGAACAACATTGTGCAGAACTTTGGGATGTTGGACCTGGTGAAGAAGGTTCTGGCCAGCCATAAGAGCCAGATGGACCGTTACAGAGAGCAGTACACTCGCAGCCTCGCCGGTCAGTACCTGGACCCTCGCAGGCTCGACACATCTGTGTCGCTCTCCTCTGCCGTCTGTATTACGGGGTTCATAAGTATCTGGGTGTGTGTTGGTACCTGCTGATGGTGCTGTCTTCTTCTGCAGCTCTAGAGCAGCAGTGTGATGAGCACAGGAAGCGAGCCAGGGAGCTGAAGAGCAAATCTCAGCACCTCAACAACGTCCTGATGACCCTCACCCCGGTTCCCTCACCCCCCCAAGCCAAGCGCCCCCGGCTGACCCGTGCTGTCTCCGGCCCGGCCTCAGTGAGTGCCGCTCCCACCCAGATCACTCTGCCGCTCAGCCAGCTGACCAGCCTGCCACTGGGGAAGGGGCAGGAGCCCCGGCCGGCACCAGCCTGAGTGGATACACCCTCCTGACCTCTCCGATCTCTGGGTCGGAGCTGGTGGCGGATGCCTCCAACCTGGCTGTACTGTCCACGGTGGCGGGTCAGGAGGGAGCAGCCGGCGGCAGCAGTTCCGCAGCCTCCACGACCTTCGTTAAAGTCGCCCCCCAGTTCCAGCAGTTCCAGCTGGTGACGCTGCAGGGCCTGACCACCACACAGAGCGGCACCATCCAACAGCAGGTCAGCAGTGTCAGTGTGGCAGACGCCATGGCAACCACTGCAGACGATTCACAGGAGGAAGGCCAGGCTGATGGTGATGATGAAGGGCAGCTAGAGCAGGTCAAAGAGGGAGACGGGGAGCAGCCGGCAGAGCAGCAGTGAGACTAAACACAGCTGTTCTTTACCGTCTCCCAGCTGGCTGTCGCCCTCGTCAGTCGCAGGTTCTACCCTGAGAGCGCGTCCACATTTTGAGTTTGACAGACCATTTGTCATTTACCACAACACACAAGGCTTCCTTGTAGATGTTCTTTCAAAATCTTCCCACGTTTATGTTGAAGTGGCACCAGGTGTCAGGAGTGTGAACTTCACTGGTGATTTTACTGTAAATATGTCTTTGCACCTACTGTGTTTGATGCAGCTGGAACAGGAGCATTGATCAGTTTGGTAATAAATGCTCAGTCTTCAAAAACCTACTGTGTTATTACACATGGTCAGTACTGATGTTACAGGTGTTACTCCTTTCTGGAATGTAGCTGTAATGGAAGTGTATCAGCTTAATGGCATCTAAATTCACTATGCACATGATTATCTATCTATCTCTATATATTTATCAAGTGCATAGTGAATTATATATATATAGATAGATAGATGGATAGATATACTGTGTGTGTGTGTATCCCCAACTAGGGAAGTACACTGGTCAGGACGCGCAGGCATATTGAGGCCTTCATTGTTTCTGTTTGTGCGTCAAAGTACCAAACATAATTAATTAAATCACCACAAGCTAATCCACAGTGAAGCTGGTGACCCCTGGGGGTCGGGCAGACAGACAGTAACAAGTTCCTCACGTTTCCTACTGACTCGACACGTCTGCTCGTTTCCCACGTGATGGCGCAAATCGTTTCCTGTTCTTACTGTTTTCTATCGATTCAGAGGCTTCACATTTGTTTTACTGTTGGAAAAGGCTTGTTAGATTCTTTGCATTCATTCACTTGACAAATGAGGAATTTGAAAGTTCGTGTCCTCTAAGCTGTAGAAGCTTATGTTAGATTTACGGAAGAGAAAAGAAAAGGTTCATGTTGACTTTACATCCTTGTGGAAAACTCGGACAGGTCGCGGCCTTACCTTCAGGTAAAGTGTTAACGTTCAGGCCATTCGTTTAAAATATACTGTGAAAGGCTGGACTCGTTGTTGATGCTCTGATGGTGAAGCTCAGCCGAATTCAATCCAAATGTTCTTTTTTCTTTCTTTTTATTTGTAACTCAGTTGTCAGAAATAGTCGTTGTAAATGTTAGGGATGGATGAAGCAACCTCAACACTACCTTTAATCAGAGTATAATTAAAATGTGGACCACATTTAGGGAATAACGTTAAAATATATTTAAAGTGCTGCTCAGAGTCTCTGTGTTTTACAGATTCTATTTGGAAATAAATGATCCCTGGTGGAGTTTGGTTGGATTTAACGGAACACCCCGCGGCTAAAAACAGTCACACATACCTTTTCTTTTTTACGTGTTGGACAAACAGAAAAGTAGTTTTATTAAATAAGCATTCTTTATTGACTGACAGACGATGATTCCAATAACAAACGACACAGAAGGCAATTGGCAACAAGAGAGGCAGGCATACGATTTATACATATAGGATATATTGAAAAAAGTGACATTTCAAGTGAACCTGCACAAGTTCCGTCTAGTTCTTCCAACAGCAGGTTCATCTATAGGCTCAAGTCGTCGTAGGAGTAATACGGCTCCTCGACTGAGCGCACAGAGATTTTGAAGTGGCGGCGCAGAAAGCCTCCGTAGCGTTTGTCCCAGTCCAGGTTGTTCAGCTTTGGTCGGATCCTCCTCATGAAGCCTCCGTAGCGCTTCTGCAGCTCCTCGGGTACCTGGCTCTTCTGCTCCGCGGAACTACTCCTCTTTGACTTTGGGCCGAATTTGCGTAAAAAGCCGCCGTAACGTTTAACATAACTATGGAGCATCTGATCCTGCGCAGCATCGTCTGCGCTCTCCGGCGCGTCGACATCTCTCTCCTCCAGCCTCTCCAATAAGTCCCCGTATTTCTCGGGCAGCGCCACGGCCTTCAGGATGTTACTGTCACGCCGCCGCGGAGAGGTGAAGATTTTGTTCTTGTCAATCCTCTTGATAAAGCCTCCGTAGCGCTTGACCAGGTCTGCTTCCTGGCTCTCTTCCTCCTCCTCGGCCTCATCCTGGGCGAAGTCCTCCAGCCCCGGAGCCTGGCCGCAATTCTGCAGCTGCCCCTCACACTCCGCGCTGCACGACTGCAGGGTACACAGAGAAGAGTGTGAAACGGGGTGGACACCAGAAGTGTATTTATTTAAATACATTTAGAAGAGTTTGGCGTCTGTTGCAGCCAATTAAACCACGGAAAGCCTGGTTCTTCCCCCCAGTTTTAACACAGTTTGCTTGTCCTTTACTGAAAGATTCAAACTTAAGCTGTAGTGTTTTTACGCACAGGTGTAAAATGTCTCATTTACGATATACAGTTAATCAATATTGACATGACAGCCATCTTTAACTTTAGGGTTCAGCAAATTAAAATTATATTAATAGCAACAATTGCATAGATTTCTGTTCGAGAGGCAAAATTACAAAACAAATTTCCTTGACTTTGGATCGTTATTATCATCAGGTATAGGTCGGAGGTCAGTCCAGTTCCAGTGTGGTTTCTGATGCCCAATTCTAACATAAAAACCAAAACACCAATTAATACCCAGTAAATACTCCAACCAGTGGTTCTTCTGTCTTGGAGCTTAACCCCGTGTAAAGTTGGTCTTACCAGTCTGCTGAAGGCGCCATCGGGGCTGAGGATTTGCTGCGCGCATTTCTGACACTGTGAAGCGCAATCTGTGCGGATGGAGGGCGGCAAGCTCAGCATCAGCACCAGGACATACCACTCCATTCTGCACCAGATCCCTGACGCACACACAAAACAGCACAGGCATTCCGCTGAGTGTGATTAAAATTTAGAATTAATGACACACTTTCATCTAATTACTTACTTTATTAAAACATTCTTAGTTTAGTCTTTTTAATAATAACTCATTAACCCGCGTTTTTGCTAACATGTAGACTTGTGCACAGCATAATGTTGCACCAATTCTTTGTTTCATCACTTTGACATTTAATACCAAGCAGTGAAACATGAAATGTGAATTCCAAGTGAAAGTTTCAGGAGAGCCATGCAGTTAAAAGTGTAAAGTCGGTACCTCAGGAGTTGGACAGATACTTCCAGCCGCGTTAAGACTTGCCGAGGCGCATCTACCATCAAGTGGAAACTCGTTTTCCGCACTCCAACACTTGTGTTTCTCCTGCGTGTCTCGTCGCTTTCTTTTTATCGCCGGAGACTTGGCTGTGTCACCGCAGCGCATCACAGCAGCTTCCATCACCGGACCAATGGGAAGGAAATATACTGCGTAAATAATCCCACCGCCTCCAGGAGTTTTTAACAACGCCCACACAGAGAAGGTATAGGATCAGAGGCGCAGCTCACCCCACCAGCTCATCATCATCATCATCATCATTTCATATCTGGGGGCCTGGATCAAACTACACTAACATGGATGAACAAAGTGTCTTCTCTAAGTACAAGGGGGAATGAGAAATCACTTTGAATTCAGACACTGAAAATCCTGATCCAGAACATTTGAAGTACTGTATTGAGTACGTTTCTCATGCAGTAATAATAAAGGCTGTAGGTGATTTACACCTGCTGTCTGTTGGAGCTGGTTAACATCTCTGTTTATCAGTATGCAATCAAGGTGCATGGTGTTGAAAGCAGCACTCCAGGGGGGAGCTACTGCTCCTAAAAAACCTATTCCCACCTAAATTTGCCAAAAGCGCACATTGACACTCCACAAGATTACTGGACAAATGGGAAGAGCATGAAGCACTACACAAAGGGTGCTGTATATCAACATGGAGACATCATGAAGTAGGGTGGAAGCAGCTCTGTGAGGACACATGGCCCAGAATCCCTCCTGACCATTGTGCACGTCTGATCCACAGCTACTGGAAGCACCTGTCTGAGGTTACTGCTGCCTAAGGAGGTTAAAGCAGCTGTCAAATCCAAGGGTTGGCTCACTTTTGTTAGTTCACAATCTGTACTGCTCACAATTGTCTCCAGAGAAGTAAATCACATTCTTATTTTCATTGTACTGAACCTTTTTAATAAACCTCGCTGTCGCAGAAATAAGGAACAACAGCTGAGATCAGTTTAAAAGAAGTGACCCCTGGAAGTGGAGACAAAACAAATAAGGAAGATCTTAACATGCAGTGTTTGTAGGTTTCTCCTCAGGGACCATTTTGAGATGCAAAGATAAAGGAAAAGAAAACAGTTCCTGAGAGAAAGTGAGTTCTAAAATAGCATCTTACAGTATTTTCACCCAGTGTTTGATTGTAGTCAAAGTGGACTTCATGCATTGTCATGTCCTCCTCACTGGTCCTCTTAGCAACACGCCCACACTAATGCAGCCCCTTGAGTTTTATTTTAAAGGCAATTGTATTTTTAGTCTGACTGACCTTGATTCATACGTGTGAATCAGTTTCAGAACAAAAGCAAACATTTCTTAATTTTAGTTGTGTGTCTCGTGTGCTGGACTCTGGCTGAAGATGTGGGTTTGTAATGTGACTCCTCAGCCTGGGGAGCACAGACAGCTTAATACCAAGTTATACAAGTATAAAACATGGTTAAATTACACGCAGGACAACACATTTCTTAGAGTCCAGTCCTCTACTCATTAAATCAGCCTGTATTAATCTCATTTAGGTGCTTAATCTCTTCTCCCCTGGGTTAATACATGTTGGTAAAATATCAGACTGTAATTATGCAGGGTGCACAGTCTTATTAATCAAAGAAATATGTTTGTCTTTTAAATTAAATTCAATTCTTTTGCTGTTTCTGAAAGATAAAGATTTGACACAGTAAAAACTGTATTTAACTAAATATGAATTAACAGAGGACGATGTAAAGTATGTAATTCAGTGAATTATCCAGCGCGTGAATAAACAGAAAGTGCAATTAACAAAGGAAATGAACTGCACCCAGCACGGGGGGCATTCGTCACGCTAACGGTGCAGTCTCTCCAAAGGCCGCTTCCCATTCATATGTAGAACAGGGTGAGACAGAAATGAGACGAGTGTCTCCAAGTGTTTATCTTTGGTTGATGCCCTTCCCCCTCCACTCCTAAAGGAACAGATATCCTAAACAGGAAGTGAAGAGGCTGAACTGGGTAACTGGTACGTCATTACCACCAGCACACACTGGAGTTCCTTTTGACCCAGTCCCACGTGCATGTGCCCCAAATACTGGGGATTAATCCACTATTCCCTGCTGTTTGAGTAATGTGCTTAGTAAATTTCTGAGCTTTTTTTAAAGTAACTATATATTTGTGAGGAGTGTTTTAAGACTTAAGCCTTCAGTAGAAACCAAAGAGCCTGGAGCTGAAAGCAGCAGACAGAAGAGCTAAATGGACTAACACATTGTTGGTTTTGGTTCTTGATTAGAGCAAGAAAAACGTAGTTTAAGGCCCAAGTTCCTCTCATTGTGCTTGTGGAAAGAAATAAATGCTTTTACCAAAATGCTCAATTATTCCTTTAAAGGGCCCCCTGGCGCTTTTCCTTGTTTTCTGACTTATCTACAGTGTTACAACAGTGACTGTCAGAACGGTCAGATCAGAATCCATGTGGTCGTTTTAACATCTCCTCCTCTGCACATACGACCTGTCGTCATCATTCGGCGTCGGCCCCTCACAGACCAGTAACAATAAACATGGAGGAGAGCGACGACAGTGACGGGGTCAGTGGAGAGACCAGGACGTTTCACATGTGGACGTTTATGGAGAAGCTTCTGATCAGGACAAACTGGGAGGAACATATCGTAACCCAGTGGTTTGGGAGGAAACTGGGCCATTTAACCATCACACACACCACCTAGCTGTTATTGTTGTGCACACGTGGCTCACATTTCAGTTACATCTGTGCACATGTGGCAGTTTAGGAGCTCAGCGGTGTTCGCACCAGAGCCGGGTACATGGCGCTGACACACATGTGAGGCATCAACACAAAACCATCAGAACTGAACCTTAAAGCCTGTGATGTGACCATGGCCAGTGATGACTGTGAAGCCATTAGAGGCTACATAGTGACGTAAGAATGACAGATGAGTTCACTGAATGAGAAGAGTGGAGACAATTTAATGCTAACATTTACAGCCCAAGTCTACAGTGCAGTCCATCACATTAGCCGCGCCTTCCCGCTGTATTGGAGCTGCTGTTTAAGTACAGTGGCTGTTTTCTACCTGTCATATGACAGATGCAGAGGAGGATCCCTGAGCACCAGCCCCATGAAACTCCAGCATCCGGTCCAGCAAACCAAATAAGACTGTGATGTTCCTGCTCATCTCCTGAAGGATGAGGCTGTGTTTGTTTCTACTGTTTTGTTTTCAATAAATGATTAATCCACTCCTTAGGCTTTTCACATACCCACATTCACATGCACACACTAGGATCTGACCGATTACACTATGCCGATATTTTATAATTTGCTCTATCAACAGCTGAGCTTTAACATACCATTTAAACGGAGCTAGTTGTACCTAAAAACAAATGGTCATGGCAGAAAAGCAGCACAAAAGCTGTGGATAAACTCACAGTAATGAGATTGTTTCAGATGAGACAAAGTGAAGCAGGTTCTATCAAAGGTTTTACTGTCTGACATGACAAGTAGAGCATGAGCAATAGAATTTATTTCAAAAACTTTATTATATCATGCAAAATGCTGATGTAATGAAATAATACTGCTTACTGTCTTTTACATGGGTGTAATGTCACATTTCAAAATCTTATTTCTTTCCCCTGTTTTATAGTTTCAGACTGATTTTCTTAATAAAATCTCTGAGCAATAAGGAGCAGCACAAGCTTTTTTGCCCTGGGCTTTGCATCTCAGGCTACAGCCTTTATATGTTGATCAAATAAAAGGGATTGATCTAAAGTCACGCCCAAGTTTTTAACTGTGGTATTTCCTGAGACTCTACAGCTGTCAAGATTTAATGTTAGGTTTTCATGGATATGTTTATATCTATATTCAGACAGATGATTAAAAGCAAAAAAATTAAAAGCAGCCACTCTTTCAAATTTGATAAACACTTCTCAATATTTACTTTTGCACTAGCATTGTCAACCCTCAATAGGATGTACAATTGAGTATCATCAGCAAAGCAATGGAAACTAATACCAAATTTATGTACATTTTGACCAAGTGTGGAACAATTGCAAGAAAAAAGTAAAGGGCCAAGAAGAGAGCCTTGGGGTACCCCATATTTAACCTCCTGTGTAGATGACATAGATTTATCATAAAGCACAGATTGTATTCTTATGTATAATTAAGGAAAAGCTCAACATTCCTGGACGTCCTCATACAAAACACTGTTAAACTACAGTTTCTCAACAAAAAGCACATCCAGCAATAACAGACACTAATTTAAACATGTGAGGTAAGAGCACAAACGTGGAAAACCAATCATATGGAATTTACGCGGGTACATTTCAGACCAACACATCTCATACATGGTCAGCAATGATTGGTGACTGACTGACAGAGAAGTAACACCGTGTGAGGCCGCACACAGCAGCGCTCTGAGCGAAATGCCTTCACTGGACACAAACTACAGTGACTGTGGAAAAACTGAAACTTGGACCTGATAACGGCAGAAATGAAAACACTGTTGTCTATAAAAGTGACAAATATTTGTGCAAAGAAAGAAAAGAGACACGTTCGAATCTTTCACAAACCAAATTCAGATTTGGTTCTGATCCCAAATGAACTGAGCCAAGCAGGTTTAAAAAAGCAGGCCGAGGTGTCCCAGAGCCGTCCCACACCATCCCGTGTGAAAAACAAATGCTCTTAACATGAAAAGGTCTCTGCATGTGGTGTTAAACTGAGTGATCAACAAACAAATATGTTTTTCAGAAACATTTATTGGCCGTGTATCGACCAATGAGATATCGTTCTAGCACACACCCACACTGTGCCCAGTGATGTGTGTCGCCCCGGGTTTCATCCACGCTCCCCCTTCCTGTGTTTGAGCAGCCTTGTTTGCATTTACATTCCCCAGTAACCTGGAGACACCTGCCTCTCACTCAGAACACCAGCTGACTACTCCCACATGCTGCTGGTCACACACACTGCGCTACAATGCCCGGTGTTATCTTATGTGTCATGATTTACAACACAATTACACAGATAGTAGCCTTGATCTGTTTGTCGTGTGTTCAGAGGCCATGACATAATGAAAGTCTTCAGTGGTTTTCCATTTCCT